TCCTCCGTCAAAAGAAAACTATTTGAAAGCAGTTGAGCTCCTTAAATCTAGATATGGAATAGAAGAATTCCTTATTGAATACTATGTCAGGGAACTTTTAGCTCTAGTTTTAAATAAGACTGATAACTTGTCAATCACATGCCTTTATGACAGGCTTGAAGTACAGCTAAGAGCTCTCGAATCATTGGGAGTAACCAAAGAGAAATATGCTGCCATGCTATTCCCTCTCGTTGAAACAGCCATACCTGAACCTATTTTTAAAATATGGGAAAGGTATCGTGTTAATAAGAATGCATCCACAACAGAGCCAGATAACTGTTTGAAAGAACTCCTTCAGTTTCTAAGAACCGAAGTTGAAGCTGAGGAGAGGCTTAAGTTGCGTGAAAACTGTTTTGGCGTGAAGTCTCACGAGGTGGATCTTAAAAAAGACTCAACCAAAACTCAGCAGTTTGGTAAACCTAAGGCAAGCACACCTTCAGCAGCAATACTTGTTTCTCTATCTGAAAATAGTGCAAAGGTAGGTACAGATTTAAATACCAACTTAAGAAGAAATCTTTGCATATTTTGTGGAAAAACAAACCATAACTCGCCTGATTGTTTTTCTATCTTCGATAAAACTGTATCAGAAAGAAATGAACTTGTAAAGAAAAAGGGTGCATGTATAAAGTGTTTGAAAAAGGGGCACTGGGCTCAGAAGTGTAAATTACAAGTGAAATGTCACATCTGCTTGGGTGGACACTTTGCAATCTTGTGTCCAAAAGTCCATGCAACTAATGAAGCTGAGCCGAGTGCTAAGGACAAGCCTATAACCCCTGTTAAAAATACAACAAATTCGTTTTCTACTGTAAACAATAAAAGCAAAACTACTTACTTACAGACTTTGAATGCTTTTATTGATTGTAATGGGAAATCAAAAAAGGTTAGAATCTTGTGCGACTCAGGTTCACAAAAGAGTTTTGTTTCTAGCCAATGTGTATCAGAATTAGGCCTCAAAAGCAATGATAGAGTTTTAATTCAACAAGAAGTTTTTGGAGGTAAGCAAACTGGACCTAAATACCATAAAACTTATGGCATCACTTTGAGTTCACTAAACTTGGATTTTAAAACAGATTTACAAGTTATAGAACAACAAGTTATTTGTAATCGGATTCCCAAGTTTTGTGACTACAGTTTGATAAAACGTTTGGAGCAAGATAACATCATTTTGAGCGATATATCGACCTCTGACGAAGAAGACTCTGCTAGTATTGATGTGTTATTGGGTGCTGATGTTTGGTCACAAATTATCACTTCGGAGTTTCACAAAGTAAATGACCAACTTGTGGCCATAAAAACACGATTGGGCTGGACGATTGTTGGTTCATCTGAATCATCTGGTAGAGATTCATCTTTTGTCTCATCTATGTTTATTGCTTTACAGTCCTCACAGAATGTTAAGCAGTTTTGGGAGCTTGAGACGATGGGAATCACAGACCCAAGTGTGAAACTGGAGAAGGGAGAAAAGGACGAGCAAGTGGTAGAGTTCTTTGAGGATACTGTGACAAGAGACTCGACTGGCCGCTACATCGTACAACTTCCTTGGGTTGAAGGACGACCCTCACTGGAGTCCAATATGTATGTAGCTGAGAAACGTCTACTCACAACTACAAGTAAGCTGAAAAATATGAATTTATATGCAGACTATGATGCTACTTTTAAAGAATGGGTTAACAAGGGAATAATTGAAAGGGTTGAAAAAGAAGAAACTTCTTTGGACCAAACTGTTAATTCTGTTCATTACCTTCCTCATCGAGCAGTCATTAAAGAAGGGAGCACTACTCGAATACGACCAGTGTTCGATGCCTCGTGTAAGGACAAAAATGGTTGTAGTTTAAATGATTGTCTTGAAGTAGGTCCAAATTTGATTGAGTTGGTTCCAAACGTACTAACTAATCTGAGGAAACATAAATTTGGCTTGACTTCTGACATTGAAAAGGCATTTCTCCAAATTCTTGTGTCCCCTAAAGACAGAGACATGCTTAGGTTTTTATGGTGGGAGGAAGGAAAAGTTGTGATTTATCGACATACTAGAGTCGTATTTGGACTAACATGCAGTCCTTTTTTGTTAGGAGCTGTAATCAATAATTTATTACGTAATGCACCAGATTGTTTGAAGTCCGTAGCTGACAAATTACAGAAATCATTTTATGTAGACAACTGTTTGACGGGTGTAGACAATGAGAATGATCGAGATTCTTTGGTAAGACAAGCACAAGACATTTTGAGGCTTGGAGAATTCAACCTAAGGGGATGGGCTGGAAACTTTGAGCCAACAACACAAAATGTTTTAGGGTTAAAGTGGGACTGTTCTTCAGACACTTTGTTTTGTAATGTTTCATTTTCAAACTTGGAACCTGAGGAATTAACTCGAAGATCATTACTATCCCACACACAAAAAATCTATGACCCCATAGGTTTTACTGCCCCTATGACACTCATCCCAAAAGTTATTTTGCAAAAGACTTGGAGTTTAAAAATTGGATGGGATGATAAATTACCAGAACATCTCCAGTCTGAGTATCAAAAATGGTTTGAACAAACACCAATTATTGAGGAGTGTAAAATTCAACGTCAAATCATTATGAATAACTCAAGCACACTTCATGTGTTCTGTGACGCTAGCAAATCAGCTTTTGGAGCCTGTATATTTCTGAGGACTGAAGCTGATGATGCTGTACATGTTAGTTTAGTGCTAGCCAAATCTAGAGTTTCGCCAGTGAAACCAATTACGTTACCAAGGTTGGAACTGATGGCAGCACTCCTTGGTGTAAGACTTTGTACCTTGGCTCTTCAATGTCTAGGTAAACCTGACTTACCTTGTTTCTATTGGTCAGATTCTTCTGTTACACTAGCTTGGATTACCAATCAAGGGAAATGGTCTGTATTTGTAAACAATAGAGTCAAAGAAATAAATAAGTTTAGTAATCCATCGCAATGGAGATATGTTTCCAGTCATGCAAATCCCGCAGACCTAATTTCAAGAGGTTGCTTACCACAACAGTTACTCAATTCACAATGGTGGAATGGACCAACATGGTTGTATAGCAATGCTTGGCCAACTGAAAATCCTTTACCTGACAGAGAAACAGTTGAGAGTGAAAAGAAGAAGTCAGTGATTACCGCAAGCACCGTTGAGACCTTATCAATTGCTGTCATGTTAGGACAAAGATTTTCTAAATACTCTTTGATTGTAAGAACCATAGCTTGGATGTTACGGTTTAAAACCAAGAAGAAGAGCTCGGACATAACGTCAGAAGAATTTCAACAAGCAGAGAAATTACTGTTTAAACTTGTGCAAAGAGACAGTTTCAATGGAGAGAAGAAAAGTAAACATTTAAGTGGAGTTAAAACCATTATTGATGAAGATGGTCTTATAAGATTGAATACAAGATTACTGGATCAAGAATACAGCAAAGAATATACTCACCCAGTTGTGTTACCATCTAATCACATTATAACAGAACGAATGATTGAACAACAACATATTAACAGTAAGCATGCTGGTGTTCAAGCACTATTAGTTATTTTGAGGGAAAAAGTTTGGATTTTGAAAGGGAGGAGGACTATTGGTCGAGTCACACATCAATGTATACCCTGTAAAAAGTTTTCAACCAAGCCATGTCAAGCTCCTGTGGCTCCTCTACCTGAAGACCGGACGAATTTGACTTCTTGCTTCCAAGTCACAGGCATTGATCTTGCAGGCCCACTCATAACAAGAGAGAAGAAGAAATGCTGGGTTGTAATATTTACATGTGCAGTTTATAGGGCTGTACACCTTGAATTGATTCCTTCATTGAGCACTGATGCCTTCATTTTAGCCTTAAGAAGATTTATTTCTCGTCGAGGAAGAGTAAATGTCATCTATACCGATAATGGGACCAATTTTGTTGGTTTGAGTAATCAACTTAAGAATCTTAACTGGAGTAAAATTCAAAATGAATTCAACTTAAAGAATATCGTTTGGAAATTCAATCCTCCTGCTGCCCCTTGGTGGGGAGGTTTCTGGGAACGTTTGGTGAGGATTCTGAAAGAGCTACTGAGACGAAACTTAGGAAGTGCTTCACTAAATCATGAAGAACTGAACACCTTGGTATGTGAGTGTGAAGGTATTATGAACAGTAGACCTCTCACATACATCTCAGAAGACACTGAAGATTTAAAACCCCTGACACCATCTATGTTCATCCAATCTATACAAGGTAATGATGTATCAGATTTAGATTTATTAGAGAAGACAAGTTTGAACAGTAGATGGAAGTATATACTAAGTATTCGAGAAGGACTAAGAACAAGATTTCAAAAGGAATACTTGGGTTTTCTAAATTCCTCTAAAAAGAACGTAAACAAAACTTGTGAAATCAATGTGGGAGACATTGTACTCGTCCATTCAGAAAATAACCGAAGAGTTTCTTGGCCTCTTGGAAAAGTGATCGAAATATTTCCTGGGAAAGACAAAGTAACAAGACTTGTAAAAGTAAGAACGAAAAATGGAATTTATTTACGACCTATTCAACGGCTTTATCCACTTGAAGTTCAATCTAAGGATGACAACATTCATAAAGCTCAAAATTATCAACCTGAACCTGAAACTCATTATAATACGACAAAAGGAAAAGAAGAGACAAATGTGAAGACTAATTAAACACAAGTTCTGACCCAAAGTGGGAGAAGAATAAAAAAGCCAACCAAATACTTAACACTGTTGGGACAAAATGTTTGATGGAAACGGGGCTTAATAGCAGAGTAAGCACCTTATACACATAGCTACCAACACTGCTAGTGAGACTACTGTACTAACATATCTCAGCAATTACAAATGCACTACGAGCAAAACTATCATTGTCTTCTTCTTGCTCTTAAAAAAATGCAATGGCAGAGACAAAGACAAAACAGTTTTAAGCTCTTTTGCAATTAATAGGGAAAACACTTAGACCAACAATGGTTCCAAGTACCCAGCCTACCTGACATGGTCTCATCATCAACATCATTCTCATCATTGCTGATCTCCCCGGTGACAGGTCGAGCTGGAGAGTTCTGATGTTCACAATCCTCTGCAAACACTTCAGTATCACTCAGTTCCTTAAACAAACAGTATTATTTAATAGTGTGGTGGCTAAGCGAAATGTTCGTGACCTGATGGATTAAAGCTACAGACTTTGCACATTTCTTCAATACCCTAAATACAAACAATGTATGGGGGGGTGCCAGATTTTTAGGTCCGCCATCTTGAAATACGACGCCATCTTTGTTTTCTTTAGAGGAATTGAACTATTAATTGAAAATGGCCTAATATCACCCAAAAGGACACATTTACGCCATTTTGTATATAAAATGTTTAGTTCACAATTAAATTTGCTATAAAATGAGATAAAAACCACTTCGATAACTTAAATACTCTTAAAGATATAGACTGTTAAAGTTGAAAATTTGATATATTCCTCTACGCTACATGTAGTTTATGCTATATATCACCCAAACGGTCAAAGGTACGTATCTGTTATTATGATATATTTTATTCAAAATTGAATTTGCTACAAAATGAGATAATAATCTCTAAAGTAACTTAAATAGTTTTGAAGATAAAAACATTTAAATTTGTAAATTTTATTAATTCCTGTATGCAATGGGTCCGTGTAATCTTAAAAGTCCCCGCCCTTTGTTTTTCCTGCACGTATTGTGTTAGAAGACTGCAACTTCACACATCAATACTGGACCTAAAATAGTACTTTCTAAACTACTTCTTGACTTTTTCCCTCCAAGGGGGGACGGCCCACAAGGAGTAAGTTGAAAATCTTAAACGAAAGCATAGGTCATGATGCATATCAAATTAAAGGGATTTACTAGTAGAACACGTTACCACAAACTGCACTTTAAAAGGACAGGTGGGTTAAAAGTTATTCCATTTTATAGTTTTGCTTATTTATTTATTAATCAACGGTCAACACCATTTCATCTCATTGCATAACATATAACAAACGTAACGGAAAATACATATAAAATTAAAGATCTTCATCAGTAAAACACGTTGCAGCAATCTGGAGTTTAAAAGAACGACCCAGTCATAAATGGCTGCCAGTCAAAGTTTGGATGAAATCTCCATAAGCTTTGATGGATACAATATATATATATATATATAGGTTTGACCGCTCTCTGATACCCAGTTGCAAAAAAATTGGTGGTGGAATGATGGTGGCTGCTGGCTGTAAACAGTCTATTGTCTCCTTGGAGTGTCGATAGCCAAAATTGCTCTACTGAGTGTGTTTTTGTTGTAGTTAAGCTACCTCTTTAGACACTTATTGTAGGGAGAGTATATTTGCATCCAAATCGTCCTGTCACCCAGTACTTAGAATTCTGTTCGACTTTTGAGGAGATCATGCTTGGCAAATCCACTAAAAAACGCCTTACTGGCTGGGGACTTCAATCTGCCACATGCAAACTGGCATGACATGGAACCCTCTTCTTGCTCTCGGGCAGTCAATGTTGTCTATGAGATCTGCCGTCTTTTTTTCAGTTACAGCAGAATAATCTGATTTTGAATGAGCAAGGTGCCCTTGTGGACCTTGTGTTGTGAGCATCAGTTCTGTAGAGCATACAAAAGTATATCGAGCACTGGACCCTCTACTGCCAAGCGAATCACATCATCCACCTTTGGAGATAGAACTTGAAACTTTTTGTACAAATTGCCGTGTCAATGTTACAATGGTTCCTGACTTTAAAAGATGCAATTTCCAGAATATTTTTGACCTTCTTATTCATTGATTACCTTACCCTACTAGTGATGTTGACCAAGAATTTGCAGATCTATGTAAATATATTGCAGAGATCGTGAGGATGTGTTCTCCCCTCGAGAGCACCAAGAGAAGTGTATTCCCATGTTGGTTTTCTCCTGAACTGAAAGAACTAGTTTTTATGAAGAAGAGACTACATAAGCAATACAAACAGTACTCGAATGAACACGTATACATAGAGTTTTGTAATGTCCGTAGTCGGTGCAAGATCATGTAGGCTATCAGGTGTGCTATAAACACTATATCAACCGAGTAAATGATATATATATCAAGGCTTTCTGGGGTCATTTTAATAGAACCAAAGGAAGACAGTCAACTCCAACCATAGTACGACTCGGCGATGATGTCACTGAAAACCCTGAAGAAATGTGCAATTATTTCCGTACCTTTTATCTGTCAATCAAGAGGAGTCAGTGGATACAATTACCTTCAAATCAGACTTTGATCTCTGCTTGACTGACTATCATGTTACGTGTGGTGAGGTTGAGGAGCGCTTATCTCATCTGGATGCACGGAAGGGCCAGCAATACTGAAATACTGTTGCAGTGTGATTGCTCCACATATTACGGTGTATTTTAACCCCTTGATGAAGCTTGGAAAGTTCCCTCGGGTTCTTAAAAATAGATATGTGCTACCAATTTTCAAGAAAGGTGACCCACCTGATGTCAAGAATTATTGACCAGTGGTGATACAACCTGCATTGGCTAAGATATTTCAAGCAATTCTACTTCATAGACTCTCTTTCTCTTTGGACAATGTCATCGTGCCCTGTCAGCATTGCTTCAAGAAAGGGCGATATGCCTCGAACAATTTGGTTCTGTACCAGGATGACATTATGCAAGCCTTTTCTTCTGCTTGCTTGTTTTTAATAATTCTTGGTGCATTATAGAGTGGACCTACAATCCAGTTTGTTATTGCATTTCTTGTTTGCTGTCATATTTATTAAAATGTTGATGCATGTTGATAGAATTTTTAAATATTACCACTTTAAATTTATGGAATTCCAGATTTAATTACATCTTTTTTATTAAATTCTTGTTAAGTTTGTTATAAATTTATTCTTGTTGATCATTGTTTTGCTTGTTAATATTATTGTTGGTTATGTATGATCCTAGTTGTTAAGTTCCGTTACATTTGTTATATGTTACGAAATGAGATAAAATGGTGTTGATAGTTGATAATAAATAAATAAGCAAAACTATAAAATGGAATAACTTTTAACCCCTGTCCTTTTAAAGTGCATTACTCACGCATTCTACTAGTAACGCTACTAGGTAACACGTTCTACTAGTAAATCCCTTTAATTTGATATGCATTATGGCCTATGCTTTCATTTAAGATTTTCAACTTACTCCTTGTGGGCCGACCCCCCTTGGGGGGAAAAAGTCAAGAAGTACTTTAGAAAGTAGTGATGTGTCAAAACCGAATCTCAAATCTCAAAACCATCAAAACTTAGGAAAAGTTTCGGTTTCGAGATTCGATCACCAAGTTTCAAGATTCAAAAGTTTCAAAATTGAAGATTTTGGCAGTTTAATTTTTAAAACTGCTGACATTTTTTATGCCATTGTTATTGTTTCCAACACTGTTTCCAAACAAGCTGGTAGCAACAGAGCAAACATCACCATTAACAGTAATGAAACAAGTAAATTTTATCCTGAACTTCAAAAGGTATCTTAAATACTATAACTGGTACAATTCAGTTTCACATCAATATTTACTAAACACAAAGAAATATTGACCACTAAATGTTCTAATTAATCTAATATTCATGTTTATGTTGGTGTTAGAAGTTTAGTTTAATTTTTGTTGGTTGTTTATGAAAAATTATGTTGTATTGGGTTTTAAGATTATCAGTCACATTCACATATTTATGTTATGTCAAGGTCAGGAGTCGATCTCTTTCAGCTTTGATTGCTTACTTAACATTGTATGATTATGTGTATGTTTGTAACCAGCTAAGTAAAAAAGTTTCGCGTTTACGTTTTGAGATTTGAGATTCGGGATTCGATTTTTAAAGTTTCGGTTTCGGTTTTGAGGTTTGAAATTTCTGGTTTTGACCATCACTATTAGAAAGTACTATTTTAGGTCCAGTATTGATGTGTGATGTCTTCTTACGCAATACGTGCAGGAAAAACAAAGGGCGGTGACTTTTAAGATTCACAGACCTATTGCATACAGGAATAAATAAAATTTATAACTTTAACTGTTTCTATCTTCAAAACTATTTAAGTTACTTTAGAGATTATTATCTCATTTTGTAGCAAATTTAATTACGAATAAAATATATCATAATAGGTACGTACCGTTGACCGTTTGGGTGATGATATATAGCAAAAACTACATGTAGCGTAGAGGAATATATCAAATTTACAACTTTAACAGTTTATTATATCTTCAAGAGTATTTAAGTTATCGAAGTGGTTTTTATCTCATTTTATAGCAAATTTAATTGTGAACAAAACATGTTATATACAAAATGGCGTAAATGTGTCATTTTTGGCGATACTAGACCATTTTCAATTAATAGTTCAATTCCTCTAAAGAAAACAAAGTATTTCAAGATGAGGGACCTAAAAATCGGGCACCCCCCCCCCCCCCCCCCAATAAATTGTTTGTATTTAGGGTATGGAAGAAATGTGCAAAAGCTGTAGCTTTAATCCATCAGGTCACAATCCTTGCTGATATTGTCCCTAAGCCTAACTGCCCCTAAGCTAACTGATTCTGTCATTGATTTTTATTTTTCAGATTAAAAAATTTAGGTTGGCCTATGGGATATATAATTTTAAATACTTTTTCATGGTGAGCATATAAACGGCAAATAATAACCTAGCCCAATGAGGATTTCATTATTACCTTTCCCAAGATTGATTGTGATATTAGAAAGGGTTTTATAAGACTGAGTGTTGATTTTAAATCCATGTTTTATGATAACCCAATTCAATTACCTATGTCAGTGGATCCCAAACTTTTTGGTCTAGCAACCCACCACTACCTTGGAATTCCTTTTTGCGACCCACATATTGAATTATAAGTTTAATAATAGGCTAAGTTATAAATATTTATTTTAACAAATCTTACTACAGTAATATTATAAACTAGGTGAAACCCGTCGAAATCGGTTACGTTAATTCGTCTAACTGCAATAAATTGGGTGAAATATACATATTTTGAGCATTTAGCATTGTTTAAAGAGTAATAATTGTAAAAAAAATAATGATATTAATTGCGTTAGTTGCCAAATTTGGTTGATCATTCAATGAATAAAATATTCCCCATACCGTACGTCATCGGAGTTATTATTAGTATGTTATATGGTATCTCTTCCTTTGGAAGAACCTTTAAATAGTATTAAAATCGTATTGGTGGATCTTTTGTATCTAAACACTTCCGTGATTTTATCAGTGTAATATGATTTTATTTCAAAAGAAAATTTTTTTGGGGAAGACATATTCTAACTTCAAAGGGAGGTATATCCGTTACAGTGTAAGTTTGATTTTTCCTTCGTCACGTCGCGTCAGTTCATATCGTACTTCTGTGCCAATGAATGAACCCTCTAGCATAGTTTTGAGAAGTTGATTGTGTGGTTACTGTTAAAGCTGGAATTCCTTGACATGGGGGATGGCAGTTAGTTACCTCAGCCTTATCAATAACATAAAGTTGTCAATATAATCTCTCTACGGAATGTTAGTTGTTAGTTGTAGTGGAATACTTGAAGTGAAGTTGGCTTTTATTCTTGAACTGTTAGGGGCCTCCTAGTTCATATGGTCTTGCGGCTTCATTGGCAACAAATAATGCAAATTACATAGCAATGGGACATTTCCAAAAAGTAAAAATACTGTAAATTGGCTGTTACGTATATATTGACGTTTACATATTGTTAATCAACGTATCTTATAAAGGATTATTTGATCTAGTTTAAAAGGAATATGACCTTTCTGTCATTACAATAGCTGCTTAAATAGTATTTTCTCTTTGTACCATATTTTACAGCCAAAATGCCGTGTTATTTTCAATAATGTTACCAACCCAGTGCGCCAAAGTTCGTAATATAGGCAGGTGCAAATAATTTGTCAAGATGGATACCATTTTAGGCTAGGTTTCTATGTTTGGATTTTATTAGACACGATAAGAGCAGATATTTCTAAATAAATATTTGATATGTGTAGAATAATATGATAAAAGTAGGCAAAAGTGGTGAAAAAGGCAGACACCAACCCGTACAATAGATATAAGATAGTTCAATAAGAAATAATTTAAGAATTGCTGTGAAAAGGATTTTCCACTGTAATGGAACGTTATATTTCAAAACATGACATGATAAAGAAGAAAATCAATTTTAAAATCAGAAAATAACATTGCAAATACTGATTTGGTAGAATTCAGTAACCCCCAATATGTGTGTTGTTTGAAATACAATTTAAAAATGAACAGCTGTTTCATTAAAAAGTATTATTCACATGGCCAAAATGTAAACAACTCTGTGGAGGAATCTTTAAAGGCTTCTGGGGCAGAGTTCTTAAGGGTTAGTTTCTCTTTTGATAACTCATCTACAGACCAAGACCTTTCTTTTGGCACCTCTACTAAATAAGTTTCTACGCCCAGCCGTTCTCTCAAATTAGTGGGGACAAAGTTTCCAATTAAATATTTAGATTCCCCCATGTTAATCTTATGGGAGAAACTCCAACTCGTATGGCCTGTGGGGCAAAGCCCGAGGATTTTTATTACAGGAATCGGCGAAAGGGGGCGTCTACATAAAAAATATTCTATTTTGACATGTCGTTTGTAAAAATCCGTTTATTATTAACGGAGTAGTGTTTCGTAGAAATCACCTTCACGTATTATATATAAGGATGAGAAAGTTTGTGTGTTTGTTTAGTTATTTGTTTGTTTGTTAGTTTGAAGTTCAATCACACATTAACTACTGGGCGGATTAGGCTGAAATTTGGCATGATGATAGCTCACATTCCCGATTAACATATAGGCCTATTCTTATCTCAAAAATCCTTTCGGGCTCCGCCTTAGTGGCTCTGTAATTCCCCATTTTAACCTTATGAGTATTCATATTTAAAAGGAATTAAAGAATTTAGTCAGCTGTTTCAACTTACCAAGTTGGTTCTATGATATGCAATAGCATTAAAAAGTAATAAGGTTTTCCAACAGGGTGCAGCACTTTTATTTTATATTTTTTTTCATTTATGGCAACAGCTAATTTGAACTAAGCAGCAACAAAAAGCTGTGATACACAATGAGAACTGTCAAAGTAGGATTTTTTAAAGTTATTTTTTTAATTTAATGAATAATTTGTGATATTGTGCAAATGTTAGATAATTTTTTTTTCTATTGTTTAGGTGCAGTGGTAGAGCATTATGGGTATGGTAGATGTATTATACTACAGCAAACCGTAAATTTAAAGGAAAAAATTTTTATCAAACTGTTTCCTCCCCCATTGCAAACGCAAATCTTGAGTATAACTGCAATAAGCATGTTATAATTATATGCCAACCCCGTACGAAGGGCGGGTACTCTACTAGTCATTAATGTTTTCATGTACACTTATAAACACACAACTAAATAATGACAATTGTGAGGATGGTACTATTGAAAGTAAAACTTCTAGCCCAAAGTATTTTCATTTTTAAGGAGGTTGCCCTCTCGCATAAATATGTTATTTCGACCCAATTAGCTCCTCAAGATACTAACTAAATGATTCAGTTTACTTTTATTGGTACTCCTCTCCAGGCGCTTTTTGAAGATGTTTATCTATAATTCATTCAACATTTTTTTATTATTCTACAGTTAGAAGCTAAACAATAACATAATATGCCATGAAATATGTTAAATTTTCTTTAGATCCCAGCAAAGTACGGGTCTGCGGAATTTTGTGTATATAGCACTACAGTAATATAAATATGGCCTACTTCCACCCAGGCTCAGATAAACAATTTCAAATATCTAGTATTTATAAAATATAGTGATTATAAAAGAATCTGTCTAAATAGCAATAATAGCTACACTTTCTTTGTCAACTCTTTGTAAAAAAATTTTTATTTGTAATGTCAAAAACCGCTTATAGATCAAACACTGTCAGAAATGTTTATCAGGAAGTTGATTGTTCACAATTTTTAATTAAGAATTCCTGTTGACTTTACTACAGAAACTCAAGTTTAAAAAGCTCGGGGTATAAAAGTATGTTTCATATGTTTCCAAGTTGTTAAGTAAATTTAGTGTAGGTATCATGCAAATATCACAAATCCATCCCAACTAAATTTTGTAATCATCTCCAACGATCACAGTCACTTCAAAATCATCTTTCAAGTTTGCGGTAATATCATGAACATATCCACGTCTTTAAGATTGGTTCAAAAACAAATGAGCTTGGTTGGTCTATTGCGGCAATATTGTAAATAATAGGCCACGAAAACCTTGAAGACATTTTTCATGATCGCAATATTAGAGCGTTATCACAACCAGAAAGTCTCAATAAAATATTCCAACACGTATAAAAATTGGGAATACAAATTTACCAAACAATAAAACAAACAATTAGTGTTTCAGATTCCTAGTTTTAGGCTGAGAGACACATCAATCACGTTAAACTGTAAATATTCAGAAAACATTTTTGGTACAGCCGTTCCCCTTGCCCATTAGATACTATTCTAGTATTCTATTATCTTGCTCATTAGACCATCCAGGTAAAAAAATATTTTTATGTTTGATCTCTTCCTGCGACCCACCAAAATTGCTCCCACGGGTCACGACCTATAGTTTGGGAACCGCTGACCTATGTTATATGTAAGAAAAAACATTGGTAATATTTTCTCACCCCCTGAAAGAATAATTATAAAGTGAATCATTACAGGTATTAAATAGAAGCTTACCTCACTGTCAGTAGTGCTGGTGCTAGATATGTTGTGTGGCAGTGAATTCTGTCGAACACTTGGCTCTGAAATGTTGGTCACACTGCTGGGCTTGTTTACAGGAGTAGCGTCCAGACTAACCTGGCTGCCTCGTCTAGCACTAACAGTCCTGGACAACACAATCGGCAGATTTATAAACCATTTAAACGCAAAGGAGTTCAGGTTATAGGAAAAATGTCAAGGATAACCGTCTGTGGGTTGATAACCGTGCACGAAACAATCGCTGTGTAACTGTAATAGACAAACCACTTCTCACTAAGATGCCATAGCCAAACAATCGACATTGCAAGTACCTCTGTTGAATGAAATTGTGTCTTGTGTAGAACAGAACTATGCCCACCACGACCACCTCCCACCACCGCACTCTCAGTACCACGCAGATGAAAACCGTCCGTCTCCCGTGTGTCACCCTGTATATATGAATTTTGAATGGATGTTGTTTTTGGCCTCTGAGACCTCAAAATAAAAAAGTAAATTGGTCCCAGTTCTAGGTCTTACCATAAGACCTACCGTAATTGCTTATTCTCTAAATGGGAAATTCGCTAAAACAAATCAAAATAATTATTGACAACCAAGCTATTTAACAAATTTTTAAAATAGTGTAGAGTTCGTGCGTTTCTTCGTGAAGCCTGGGTGTGAGGGGCTGTAGTGGCAAGTGGGGAGCCGAGCGCGAGAGGGGAAGTTGACGTCGTCGTCCTATTCTGATACTAGTCTGACTAAAGACATTTTTCGGAGTTCGGACCGCGGTGCGGAGGCGGTTCAGGTTGCTCGCACAACAGTTGTGTGATGAGTATTTTCAACAAATATCGAATTTTTTACCTAATTAAGAGGTATATGAAAATGTTTATGAACGGAGGATAGCATATTTTATAAAATTCTCTATATTAAAATTTAGAGTAGGCTATTTCTAATACTCCAAAATGTACTCGTTAATGAGCCAGAGATTTTTCGTGGGCAAAAGCAAGTACAAATAATGCATTACTACGTAATGCATACGAAACTGTGGCTTAAATGAACCTAAAAAATTGTATTTTCACTCCACTTTAAACTTAAAAATAAACAAATTAAGTTTTAAGATAATCGAACTGGCATCCCGAATGTTTTTGAAAAAGGGTGTATCTGCGATGTTGCTCGGACAGGGTGAGAGTGCAGACTGATTTTCGGCGTACCCCCACCCCTACAAAACCGGTTCAGAGCTACTCTAACCACCTACCCCCAGGCTTCACCAAGAAACGCACAAGCTCTAGTGGTAGTAAGGATTTAAGTGTGGCCAATATGCGAGGGGGGGGAGTGGGCTAAGTCTGGCTCACTTTTCTGACTCTATACATTTTGGGTCTAGTCAAGCCAAAAGTTTTTTTGCCATCACAGAAAACGTCTGCAAAGATGCTGATCAAAAATTGATGATTACAGGGCTATCAAGGGTGATAATCACGGTTTTGTTGTGAGTGCTACTTCCTTTTACTTTATTACCAAACAGTTGATATAGATTTTTTCATTGTTGTCTACACGGTATGGTGTTGGGAAATTATTGTGAATAAGACTAAGCTAAGTTATCTCTAAACACTGCGGAGGGCCCGCGGACGATGAGTGTCACTTCTGGTGCTGCCCAAGGTTCCATACTCGGCCCAGACCTCTGGAACGTCGCTTATGACAGCCTTCTGAGGTCTGAAATGCCTGAGGAAACGGTCTTGGTTGGGTACGCAGACGACGTTGCAGCTTTGATAGCTGCACGTAGCGTTGAGCTGGCTCAGCTAAAGCTAAACCGAGTTATGCGTACCATAAACGCATGGATGGCAGACCACGGTCTCTCGCTTGCTCTGAGCAAAACCGAGATCGTGATTTTGACAAAAAAACGGATTGACACCATCGTGCCGCCGTTGAGGGTGGGAGCCGTCGAGGTTCAAACTGTTCGTTCTGCCAAGTATCTTGGGGTCATGGTAGACAGCAAGCTTAGCTGGCGGGATCAGATCTTCCGTACAGCGGACAAGGCCGCTAGGGTGGTTTCTTCTCTTAGCCGGTTGATGGCCAATGTCGGAGGGCCTCGGCCCAGTCGTAGAAGGCTGTTAATGTCTTCTGTCCAGTCCGTACTCTTGTACGGTGCGGAGGTGTGGGCAGACCCACTAAATAAGGAGGCATTCAGGATGCGGCTCGCCCGAGTGCAGCGTCAGGCAGCACTGAGGGTAGCATCTGCCTACCGAACAGTGTCCGAGCCCGCCGTCCTGGTGATTGCTGGAGTCATCCCCGTCAAACTTTTGGCGGCGGAGAGAAAGGCAATTTACCGCCGTGGGGAGGACGAGGCACGAACAGAGGAACGCACCCGCACCTACCAGCTGTGGCAGGAGGGCTGGGAACAGGAGACACGGGGACTCTGGACCAGGCGACTGATACAGCAAGTCCAACCTTGGGTTGATCGGCGGTACGGAGAGGTGGACTTCTACCTCACCCAATTTCTGAAGGGGCACGGCTTTTTCCGGTCGTACCTGTTCAGGATGGGCAAAGCCGTGTCACCCGACTGCATATACTGCCCAGGCATTCTCGATGACGTGGAACATACATTTTTCCACTGCCAGCGCTGGGAAAGGCCCCGCCTGGAGGCTCAACAATTAATAGGACTGCTGTCGGTGGACACGGTCATACCGATTATGACGGAGGGTGAGGACAATTGGACCTGTGTGTCACATTATATCCAGGGTATTCTCCGCGTCAAGAAGATCGACCTTGACCAGGATGCGGTGTAGGTCATTAAGAATCTAAATGCCAGAAACGGTGCGAGCCCTGAGGGCTTAGGTCACATGTTGGCCTGACTTGAAGTAATGTGACAAACAATTCCAGGTCTGTGTGGACACAGACTCTGTTGGAACAGAGTAGAGGGGGTTTTTTAGTGAGTAGTCTGATAATTTTCAGGAGTCTCACACTACAGGCTGGCTACCTGTGTGCGTAAAAGCATTTTCCCTCCTCTCCCTAAAAAAAAAAAAAAAGTTATCTCTAAAACACAACCCACTTTTAAGATTGATTAAAGTCCATTTATAGAAAAAAAAGTTTAAGTACTTTTCATCTTTACATTTCTTGTAACCCATTGGTCGATTCATGAAGTACCAGAAACTCACCGGAAAACTTAATAGAAAATCTTTCTTGACATTTAACAAATGATTTACTTTTAATGTATTCTTCTACCATAAGTAATCTTTGAGCTTGCAGAAAATGATGTTGAATCTAATTTACAATGGAATCCTGATCACACCAAACCAAGCCATACGTCAAAGAAACAATCCATCAGCTGATCGGTAACGAGGTAAAGGAAGCAGTGCTGCCAAGTTAAGAGCTTGTTTCATGCATAAACAGTAACTCTGTATGCTTTTAGTTTTATAAAGAACACCATGTACCAATTGGAATACTAGAGTATTCCAATTTTTAATTTTAATAAAACAACAGTTTCTTTCTAATTAAAGCTTCTGATTTTAGTCTGACCCGATTTCAGCTTAGGACCCGAAAGCCAAGTTGACCCAACCTGACCTGAAGTATAAGTCTGGCCTGCAGACCTCTAGTTAATATGGTTGAAAAAATTTGTTTTCAATATTTTAAGAAGCTCTCACATCATTACATTATTGTTTATGTTTAACACTTTCAGTACCAGCTTCATTTTGACATTAAATAAACCAAACCACAGGAGGATTTTCTTGCTGTAACTGTAAAATGAATATTTCAAGTTGTAAGGAGCCCCTAAAAGTGTTTAGTTGTAGGGATTTTTTTTATTGTTTTTTTTTACACATGTGTTTTCTGTGACACTGACCTTGTACTGCCAGAGTCAGCTGAGACGACGGGGATCTGTGGTAGAGAGATGGGAGTATTCAACCCTCGAACTGCAGCATTCAGTGCGTTTCCTGCATACAGGTTCAACCGAAGTTGCTGTAAATAACAACTTTTTTAGAGGAGTGAGAAGCTCAGTTTTTGAGCCGAGCCTAGAATACAAGCTTGAGAGATCAAGCACAAAATCAGAAAGTAGAGCTTGAGCTGAGCTATTACTATTGTGATCGCATAACACGTCTGGGAAGTTTGCACGATCAAAAAATTAACGGCTTATGCTGCAAACACAGATGACGTCAATAACATTTCAGTAATTGCAGTGGATGATAGTGATGTCTAGTCAAACGCGGAAGATGTCCAGGAGAGACTATGACGACATTTCTACGATGGCGGGAGATGATAATGATGTCCACACAACTGGAGATATTCAGGATTTTGCCACACTCGCAAATAATGGTGATAACGTTTCTCTGACCGGAGAAGACGATGATGATGATGATGACTACATGATTCAATTAAAATCATTTCAAATTCTCTCTTTTTAGTCACAGAAAAATATGTACAATGAATAGTGTCTAATAAATAAATACCCCCGCCGCAGCAAACCTGCCGACTAAGCGAATTTCCATTTGTCTTAATTGATTTTCAATTAAATATATTTTAATAACATTAAGTTTAACGAGTACCTAGGTTTGCTGCTACAAGGAAACTAATAAAGTGTGTTTTTTTGTAAAATATTGATAGCTTAGTACAAAATAAATAAATTTGATCAAAATACAAAATAAAAAAGCAAACTACAATATTTTACAATATTCTCCATAAGAATAACATGGGAATTTTAAATTTACAATTTTTTAAATTTTCTCCGTTACTATTAACCGAACAAAAATACTTTTATATACTAAATTAATTGTTTTTTTTAAGCTCTTTAAAAAGGTCTAAAGAGAAATTGGGAAATTTTGTGTTTTGAGGGTCAAAAGTGAGAAAAACCAATTTTTACCCCATAAAACCCCCCGTAAAGCCCCGTTCCCATGGTCCGATCATGCTGGTTAGCGAACTCATTCAAGTTTATCCCGCTTTACACTTTTAAACCAAATTTCATCAAAATCGGACAAAAATTACTCAAGTTATCGCGTTCACGGACGTATATATACAGGGTGTCCCGGAACTCTCTACCAATATTTTAGGGCATTGTTCCTGGGTAAGAAACATATCTAAATATCATATTTAAATTGTCCGGAAGTCCTTAGTTACTCAGATAGCCGCCATTTTGTTTTTTTCACTTATTAATTTTTTTCTGAAAATTGGTTAAACATACGAAGTTGAAACTTTGCACAAACATTTATGACAACTAAACAAAGCTACAAAAAAATTATGACGATTTTTCAAATTCATAAAACAAAATGGCGGCTGTTTAAAATTTTGTTTCTTAAATTACTCGAAAACCGTTGATTTTACAAAAATTTTACAAGAATAACTTTTTTTAAGGCAATTTTATTACAAATCGATCGACGCCTTAATCTTTAAGATCGGACGAGTATTAACTGAGATATGGCAGTTTTAGTGATACGTGACCGCCGGATATTAGTTGCAGCGCATGCTGAAAGCGGTCACGTATCACTAAAACTGCCATATCTCAGTTAATACTCGTCCGATCTTAAAGATTAAGGCGTCGATCGATTTGTAATAAAATTGCCTTAAAAAAAGTTATTCTTGTAAAATTTTTGTAAAATCAACGGTTTTCGAGTAATTTAAGAAACAAAATTTTAAACAGCCGCCATTTTGTTTTATGAATTTGAAAAATCGTCATAATTTTTTTGTAGCTTTGTCTAGTTGTCATAAATGTTTGTGCAAAGTTTCAACTTCGTATGTTTAACCAATTTTCAGAAAAAAATTAATAAGTGAAAAAAACAAAATGGCGGCTATCTGAGTAACTAAGGACTTCCGGACAATTTAAATATGATATTTAGATATGTTTCTTACCCAGGAACAATGCCCTAAAATATTGGTAGAGAGTTCCGGGACACCCTGTATATATATACAGGGTGTCACAAAAAAGTGTGATGGGCTATACAGCACCTAATTCTACATGCAAAAATAAGTCAAAAATGAAGAATAAATTTTTTTGGATTTCGGCTTAGTTTAGCCGTAATCCGCCATTTTGTTTTTTGGGGAAAATATTTATTATTTCAAAATTCCTTTGAGATATTTTTACAAAACTTGGCAAAATTGTTAACACTATAGTAAGTAACATTTATAAAAAAAATTATTATTTTAACTTTCCAAATTTAAAAATGGCGGCCGTTTGAATTTTTTAATGCCAAATTTCATGAAAACCGGTACCTAAACCAATATTTTGTAAGACACAAAAGTTTTAGTATTTATTATGACATTATGACAAATCCAACAAAACAAAAATGAATAAAATCGGTTCATAAATAAAGAAGCTGTATTTATTTTAGTAATTTAGACTGAAATTACTTAATACGTTACATAAACTATTACATTACATTTAATACATTTTAATATTAATAATTTCAGTCTAAATTACTAAAATAAACACAGCTTCTTTATTTATGAACCGATTTTATTCATTTTTGTTTTGTTGGATTTGTCATAATAAATACTAAAACTTTTGTGCCTTACAAAATTTTGATTTAGGTACCGGTTTTCATGAAATTTGTCATTAAAAAATTCAAAAGGCCGCCATTTTTAAATTTGGAAAGTTAAAATAATATATTTTTTTATAAATGTTACTTACTATAGTGTAAACAATTTTGCCAAGTTTCGTAAAAATATCTGAAAGGGATTTTGAAATAATAAATATTTTCCCCAAAAAACAAAATGGCGGATTACGGCTAAACTAAGCCGAAATCAAAAAAATTTTATTCTTCATTTTTGACTTATTTTTGCATGTAGAATTAGGTCCTGTATAGCCCATCACACTTTTTTGTGACACCCTGTATATATAAGTCTATATATATATACATATATAAAAATTTGAACGAATGGTGTTTTTGGCCTCTGGGGACATCAAAATGAAAAAGTAAATCGGTCCCGGGTCTAGGTCTTACCGTGCCACCTACGGTAATAGCTACTTCCCTATAGGGAAATTCGCTAAAATGTTAAAATGATGCATTATCGCTAAACAAAATCATTGTCTTTTCAATACTAATGTAAAGTAGAATAAGTAACACCATATGAAATCTTCTTTTTTTACCATGATTTAATGTTACATTTTGTTATTCCAAAATTCATCCAAAGATCAATGAATAAAGAGACAATGAACGTAGATATTCCTTTTAGCAAATTTCCCTATAGGGAAGTAGCTTTTACCGTAGGTCTTATGGTAGGACCTAGGCCCGGGACCGAATTACTTTTTCATTTTGATGTCCCAAGAGGCCAAAAACACTATTCATTCAAATTTTTTTATAAAAATACAATTGTGAAAGCAAAAGGAAGTGTTTTATAAATATATATATATCTATATGTGTGTGTGTGTGTGTATGTCCGTGAACGCGATAGCTTGAGTAATTTTTGTCCGGTTTTGATAAAATTTGGTTTGAAGGTTGTAAGACGGGATAAACTTGAATGAGTTCGTAAACCAGCATGATTGGACCATGTGAACGGGGTTTAACTTTGTGGGAAAAAATGGAATGGGGTTTTCTCATTTTTACCCTTAAAACACAAAATTTATCAATTTTTCTCCAGACTTTTTTAAAGAGATCAAAAAACAAATAATTTACTATATCAATGTGTTTTTGTACAATTATTGGTTAGGGAGAAAATTCATAAAATTGCTCATTTAAAATTCCCATGTTATTCTTATGGAGAATATTGTAAAATATTGTAGTTGGCTTTTTTATGGATATATTTTGATCAAACTTGGAGGATTATTTTTTTATACTTAGCTGTTAATATTTTAAGAAAAATCACACTTTATAAGTTTTCCTATAGCAGCAAACCTAGGTACTCGTTAAACATAAATATTACTTTAATAGATTAGTTGAAAATCAATCCAGGTACATGGAAATTCGCTTAGTCGGCAGGTTTGCTGCAGCATTTCAAAAATTAAAACTACCTTCCATCAAGTTAAGTATTTAATAGTATTTATTATTTCAATCTTATTCAAACTATTCCAAACAAGTCAATCAAAATTCATTAACCAATGTTTATGTTTACAGTTTTATTGCAGTTTAAATTACAAATTCATTTCCATTATTAAATAATATCATGAAATGTTATTGAATTAAATCTATATATATAATACGCTAAGCCTCCCTCATTTTTAAACCGATTTTGATGATTAAAAATTTAAAAAATTGCCCTGATCTGTAGTTTTTCAAAGAGGTTTTCTATTTTTTGGAATCTTTATTAGTTTGGCCAGGATCTTCCATCAAAGTTGATTTTTCTCCCGTAAGGTTAACATGGGGGGAATCTAAATATTTAATTTAACACTTTGTCTCCACTAATTTAAGAGAACGGCTGCGCGTAGAAACTTGGTAGAGGTGTCCAAAGAAAGGTCTAGGTCTGTAGATGAGACATCAAAAGAAAAAAAAGTAAATTCCTTTGGGGCTCAGCCCCAGTGGCCTTTGAAGTTCCCTCCCTAGATTTGTTAACCTTATGCCCCCAGTACACTCTTGCCGAAGCAAGGCGAGTGTTTGCGAGTACGAGAGTGTACTCGGTGCGCTCGTCTTCTCTCGCCTTGATTTGGGTCGCCTCGCCTCGTGCTCGCCGGCACTCTGTCTGGAGTCGGTTTTTTGACACGAGTCAAAGGACACGAGACTGCACGAGTGGCGAGCGCTACTTCCACATCGAAGTTTGCCCATTTTGACTGCAAGACAAAGCGAGAGTGTACACGGTTACCTCGCATAACCTCTCGCCCGAATTACTCGGCGAGCGTCTCGGCGAGAGTGTACTGGAGGCATTATGGACATATGATTAAAATTTTTCACTACTTTTTAATGAAACAGCACAGCTGTTAATATTTAGATTTTATTTTAAACAACACGGATTATAGGGAGTTACTGAATTTGTCAAAAAGAAGTATTTGCAATTTGCAATGTTATTTTCTGATTTTAAATTTGATTTCTTCTGCATCA